GGAACTGTCAGCCCCGTTGTTTTCTCCTCCAGATTGTTGTTTGAACATTTTTAAATGGAGGAGAAAATGAACCCATTTCAATGCTGAAGCCCATGAAAGAAGAATAGAAAATGACACACTGAATTTCATCATCAATCCTTGTGCTTCTAGACTGCTGAGGTTGGCCTGGCCCTGGAGATGGAGACTGCTAAGGTGTGTAAGCCCTGGTGGTTGGAACTGCCCTTGTGGGTGTTAGGAGTGGGGCCAGCAGTACAGGGCCCTGCAGGGTGTGAGGAGAGGTACAGGGTTGTGTGAGGCAATCCCTCATCACAAGCTGGATTGTGCTGAGGTGCCAAGGCTAGCAGGCTGGTGACGCAGGCCCTAAGGAGACTTGTTTTCTTAAATGGCTGTCCCACAGGCCAGTGCCTGGAGACAGGAAATGCCTCTCAGCATTTGTTGCTCTGCACCTGATGTCTGTGGCCACCAGAGGGCAATATTGCATTATTGCGTGAGCCCTTAGCCTCCAGTCACCTCTTCAACTTTTCTTCCTCTTCCTCCTGGCCCTTGTTGGGAGCTCACCCCAGGGCAGCCACTGATCCTAGACAGCAGGAATGTGGGTTACGAGTTCACTCCGGAAAAGCTGAGGGAATGAAGTGGGACACCGAGGGGGTGGGGGTGGGGGTGGGAACCAAGCTTGCAGTTACTCAATTCATAGGAGGAATATGGGACTTCCATTTGTCTGTCGTCCCAAGTATTTATGTAACAACACTGTTTCCACACATTTTACCAATATAGTGACATCAGCCATGTTCAAGCCATGCGGCCTTCACCACGATCTGTTAGTGGGGGTTGCTTTGCCTGATGACACACTTGGGAAAGAGCAACACATAGACCTGCTGCCCCAAGTGCAGTGGAGCTCCTGAGCCACTCTGGGCCCGGGCTCCCTAAGGGGAGGGAAGGTGGCTCTGCTGAAAGGGAGCTGCAGGGAAAGAGGGTGGTTTCGTGATGATTACCTTGGCTTACAGTTAGAGGCGAGATGGAGCATGCTGACCAGAGAGGTGCAGAAATCCATATGGTGGTCTAAACTAGACCTCCACCAGCGGAGCTGCTGGACATCTAGGTAGGGAGCCAGCAGAATGGGGATTATGCCGGGACCTGGCAGTATGCAAAGGGAAGAAGGCCAAAGACCCGTGGCTAGAGGACGAGTGGTGAAAATGTCAGATCTGACGTGAAGTGCCAGCCCCCTGGTCGAAGATGCTATCCTGATCCTGAACCAGGGCTGGGACAGGGCTTGGGGATGAGAGGAGCCCTTATTTAGGTGCCTTGGGCTTTGGCGGCAAGAAGCTGGAGTAATTCTGTCGTATGACTTGCATTTTGTATGCGAGGAGGTGAGGCCTTTGAGAGTGGTGATGTAAGACGAAAGAAGAGGGTTTGGAATCATGAAGGGGAAATGACAGCTCACTTGGGAAACAATGACTGCCAAGGGGCCAGGATAACTTGGGGTTTCCCCCTATTATTGAAGTGTTTATTCTTTCCCCTTTTTCTATTCCGGTCTTTTAATTCTATCAGCATATAATTCACATATAATACAGTTCAATAGTTCAACCACATCAGAGTTGTACATCAAGAATACATCAAGTACTTATGTACCCCCGCTTTAAACGCCTGACATTTATTTAATCCGCACATCATTCTAGGAAGTCGTTACTACCGTTGTATTTTACGGACGAAGGGCACAGAAGCCACAAAGGTGAGAACGCTGGTGGAGCCAAGCTCTGGCCAGGTGGCCCAACCCCACCCAGTACTCTGGCGGAGAGGGCTGAGGAGCCGCTTCCTATCGGTGGTCCAGCCAGGGAGAAAGCCCCCAGACTAGGTCAGGCGTTCAGATGTTGGGCAGCCTAGCTAATAACGATGTACTGCAGTGTCACTGACCTTCAGTCAGTGAGGCCCCCAGGCCCAGGCTGGACAGGGAAGAACTTGAGAAATCTCGAGTCGATAAAAGGACAAGGAGATACGTGATCTTAAGTTTCACTCACAGTGCCCAGTGCCTAGAGTAAAGGGATGAGTGAAGAAAAATGAACCGTCTGAAAGCGATGAATAGGTTGAAAGGGGATGACAGGGAGAACATGGCCCTATGGAAAAGTACCAAAGCCACCTGACCTAGACTTGGGTGATAGGGAAAGGCTCTTGAAATAAGATCAAGGGTGTACGATGAAGCTTCAACTGGGAGCAGCAGCAGATCATTTTTGAGAATGTGATTTATCATAAGCAGTGGAAGTTCTTTCATGGTTTTACACATGTTCAGATGTTCATTTTGTAAAGGTGAGCCAGGTGCTATAATGAGAATGGGTTTGAGGAGACAAAAACGAAGACGAGAAGCTTTCCAGGAGTGTGCGAAGGGAAGAAGGCCACAGATTGAGAGGTGGGTGGTGTATTGGAGTCCTGTTTAGAAGGTGCACGGGATAGGATTTCCTAGGTTTTAATACAGACATGCAGCAGAGGAAGATCATGGGTGGTGACGACATTCCTGACTTACACAGCTGTGTGGACTATACAAGAGGGTATGCCCCACGCCCCCAAAAAGTTTTGTTTTTTGATATGAGGGGGAGTAGTGCATTTGGTATTCGCTTCACTAGGTCAGGCTGTTAATCATGCTTTCTATTTAGAGCAGTGGTTCTCAACCTTCCTCGGGCCGTGACTCTTTAATACAGTTCATGTTGTGGTGACCCCCACAACCATGAAATTATTTTTGCTGCTACTTCATAACTGCTACTGTCATGAGTCGGGTGACCCCTGTGAAAGGGTCATTTGACCAACAAAGGGGTCACGACCCACAGGTTGAGAACCGCTGATTTACAGGCTTGGAAAAGATTGCATAACAGTGTGCAACAAAAAAGGCCTTATTTGTGGCAGACAGGACTGGTTTTACCACCACGACAATGCACCTGCTCATGCAGACATCTGTGTGCCAGTTATTTGCAAAACAAAACAACACAACCCAGCATGCCTCTCTTGCCCCACTCACCTGATTCACCAACCTCACTCCCTGGGACTTTTGTTTCCGTGCTTCCGAGAATGAAAAGGCAAAACGAGGGAGGTTCTGTGCTGTCAGTCATTCAAACAGATGAGTGTGAAAAATGTTTCCAAGAATGGAACGGCAGATTTGACAGATGTAATCAGTGTAATGGAGAGTATTTTGAAGGTGATAAGGTTTTGTAAAAAAAAATTAAATACATAGCTTTGGAGAAAAAAAATACTGTTTCCTTGGAGGTGGGGTACCCCCTCGGATTTCCATTTGTATAAAATGAGAGGACCCTGCATTCAGTGAGGCACCTTGCAGTGTGAGTCTGGGCGGAGGACCGCAGTTGGTGTGAACGGCACTGCCAGAGGGAAGAAGGTGCGGTGAGAAGAGGTCCAGAGGGCGGGCCTGTTTAGACGCCACAGGGACAGATGTGGAAGGAAAGAGAAGAGCGGACTGTGGACCGGGGGAGTTCCTCATGGAGGGACGAGTGGCAGTTATGGCGCTGGGGGAGCAGTTCCAGCAGTGGTGGAACCTTGACTGAAATGCTTGGGGAGGTGAGGAAATGAAAGTGGATGAAAGCTACTCTTAGGGAAGGCTCAGCTTTGTAAGGGAGAAATTGGGGCATGGGACAGGCTGGACTGGCAAAGTGGGACAGAGACATCCAATTCTCTAGTTGAGAAAAAAACCCTAATGGATCATGTGAAATTCCTGAGATGGTAGGAGGAGGATGGGCTTCAGTTGAGCTGTCCTTTGTTCATTTCACAGGTATGAGGAGGTACATGGGTGTGGACAGATGTGTGGTTTGTGGACAGAAAGGCGAGGGGATCACTCAAGTATACGTTTTGGTTGGTGAAGTAAAGTTTGAAGCGCATGTGGAAACCCAAGGCCTGAAGGGAGCCAGCAGGTGGATTGAGAAAACAGCTGGACTGGAGCTAGGAACTGAGGCTGCCTCTGGATGTGGGCGCGCCCTGGTGGAGTAGTGGTGATCCCTGGGGCTGTGATTGGCACTGCTGGGGCTGTCTCCTCCTATAGTGTTGCGTCTCTGAGCCCCACGAGGGGTCGCTGGGAGTCAGCATTCACTCCATGGCAGTGAGTTTGGTTTTGGTTTTTCACTACAGAAGTGAAAACTCAGTTCTTGGATTAGGAGAAAAGAGCAGGGGTCTTGCATGTGCTGGGAGTCTGAAGTGTAATGAGGAGGAGGGCTATTATAGGGGGTCCTTTAGAACAACAGACTGGCCCCTACCCAGTCTACTGTTGTAATTGAGGGTACCTCTGGGGGCAGTCTGAGAGGCACAGAAGAGAGCTGGTATTTCTCATCCCAGTAGAGCTTGTCAGACATTTGCTCATCCAGCCCCGGCAGATAGGCGCCTTAACCACGAACAAGGCAGGAGAGTGACAGAAGCCTCGGGCCACAAGAGTAGCCAGAGTCCATTCCCTCTGCCCCCAGGGTAGAATTTGGAGGCACTTAATTTCCAGCCAAAAAGCCAGTAACGGGGCTTTCTAAAGGCTGGGAGTGCAGGGGGAATAGGAAATGGTTGTCCAGTCAATTCCCGAGGCTCCTTGGGTCCTGTGTGCATGGACTCCGACAGCGCATCTTTGGGGTTGGCTTCCTCTTAGAGGGGTAAGAAGAGAGCCTCTGTGGATCCATTTTACCCCAATGACCCAGGTTGTTTGTTGGTTTGGTGTGGTGGGGTGTCGTGTGTGGAGTGTGGTGGATGTGGTGAGCAGAGAAGCTTTGGGGGTTCCCAGGGCTGGTCAATAACCTCTATCTCCTCCCTTTGTGCCCCTGGCACCAGCCCAGTTCACTCCATCATCACAGGAGGCCGAAAGGTGTTTTATTGCAATGTCTTTATTGCATTACTGGAGCAAGTTGGCCAGACTGTCCCCTTTTGGGGAAGGTAAACAAAAAGACCAAAAAGTATCTCCCTCACCTTCCCCCCGCCCTCCCCCACAACTGCACAGCAATGTCTGAACACATTTGGTGACAAGAACAATTTGCAAAAGTGGCCTAGGAACTACTTTATGAACTGTCCCAACACAAGACACACAGTTGGCTTCCTTGTGAATCAGATATTTTTACATAAACTACATGATTTTTTTGACTACATCAAAGACAACAGAATAGCTTTTTCACAAGTTAACAACGGGGCACCAACATCACATGCTGGAATTTGTAAGGAAACACAGTTGGGTGTCACAAGTGGCTGGAGCTAAAGCAAGGATGAGCAGTTGGTGGCAGAGGGAGGGCCCAGCTAGGCCTCCATCCAGACCCTCTGGCTTCTGAGGCCACGGAGTCTCAAAAAGGGCTACTGTGGGATGGTACCTGGCAGCAGAGACCACCTTGGAAAACGGGCATAGCCTAGATCCAGTTCTTGTCCCAAGAGGACCCACGGGGCTGGTTTGTTGCACCAATTAAAGGGGAGCTGTGGAAGACATCAAAGGTGGATGTATCAGGAAGCCCTCGACCTCTGCTGGAGTAGTGACAGGACACAGCCAGCATCTATGGCAAGGTGCAGGTGAGCATTAAGGAGACCTGCAGCCAGTCAGCCTGGCGCTGCTTCCATGCTGGTGGGTGCTTCCCTAGCCAAGAGAACATTCAGCACTTCCTTTAGCTCCCAGGTCTACCTCCACAGTGGACTCTGGTCTTGGTCTGTCCCCTTACCTTCTGCTTCTGTGGGGCTGGGGTAAACATGCCAAGAGAGTGCCTCAGGGCCCAGATCACAGGACAGGCCCCCGGCCGACTCCGACCTGCTCCCAAGACTATGGAGCAAAGGAGCTGCATACTACCTCGATGCACACACAGCCCAGCCCAGTATACACTAGGCTGCCTCTCTGCCATTTCCCACTGGCTTAGGATCGAGCGAGCCATGTGGCAACTGGTCATAAAATAATCTTCCAACTTCTCAAATGAACCCTGGGCCTTAAATCCCAGAAAGCAATGAACTAAAAACAGAAACAGGGGAGGGGAAAAGTGGAAGACTAGGGTGGGAAATGAAAGCAGTCCTTCTCCCAGCCAGCCCAAGGGGAAGTCAGAGGGGCTTGCTCTCCAGCTGCCCTTCCCAGTGTCTACCGGTCAAGTGCAGACACAGGTCCAACACAATAGGCATAAACCCTTTTTCCCATCTGGGGTATTTTAAAAGACAGGACCCACAAAAACTTTAGTACCAGAGAGGAAATGACTTGAACCCAATCTCGAGTGTCCAACTGCTCAAGCAGGTTCAGCACCAGGTGCTAGGCCATCCAGGGGTGTCCAGCAGCAGTGAGCATGGCACTGCCCAGAAAACAGTCGGAAAATTCCCCTCTGGAAGTTAGAAAGGGTGGCTGCCTCTCAGTCAAGAGCTTAAGTCAGAACAGTGACACTGAGGGGGGCGGTTCATCTGGCTCTCTCTCTTGCCCAATCCTGAGACTGCAATTAACCAAGGAAAAGTCAAAGACACACCTTTCCTTCCTAGCCTCTCACTGATATCTGGTGGTTTTTCCCAGAGTGTAATCCATGTCTACGTCTACATCATGGTCCACTCTAGGCTTCAACACCCAAGACCGGTGTGCTCGTTAATGCAGTTGTTTTCCTTTCCCCTAAAACCAGAACTTCCTTCGCCATAAGCCTGGAGCTTCAAGCTCCTGACACTGGCTTCCCTGGCTCAGCCAGGGTGCCCGACTACACAGCTTCTGTGTGCAAACAGCTGACTCACTCAGTGACAGACGACTCTTCTTGTCAAGTGAGTGCTGACAAACGGGGCTGGGCAACATGCAGTCCTGAGTGGATGCCTGCCTCTAGTCCAACTGCCTAGTTTCACTCAGCCGGAAGGCTGGCCGAAACCAGCAGATGAGTCCCAGCCTACAATCGGGGCCAATGGAGCACAAAGGCAGACTGCACATTGTTTTAGTGACAGGCTCACAGAAAAAGGAAAAACCCTCCTAGATGGCTTTTGCTAAGTTTAAACGCCAGCCACACACTTCTGCGAGTTTCAGAAACCAGTGGATGGAAGCAAGGAAGCGCATGGGTGATGGGCCCATGGTAGGACCCTCCCCTTCCCACTACAGCCTTAGCCACTCGGACTCTCTGAGCCCTACCCTGCAGAGGCCGCCGTGATAAATGGAGACCATGTTGATGCTACTGCAGGCCCGCCCTCCCAGCCTGGGGAAGACATGAACGAATGTTGTTCTCTAGGGTTATTTGGTATATTCAAGTCATCTAAAAGCACTGGATTGCACCTTTTACTCACACAAACAAGTTACAGAGGCTTCAAACAACAGATCATTCTTTATGCTAAGGAAATACCACAATAGCACCAACTTCATTTTATGATTCAAAGCGCACCATATCTCCACAAAAACACTATTCCTCATCTCTCAGACACAAGGCAGGCAGGAGGAATTACAACTGACCAATTTTAGTGTTTGCAAAAACATGTATCTTACTTTCCCTTTTCAAGTTTTGGTTTAGAAGTGTGCATTTTGATACTAGTGCCACCTTCTCCCATCAGGCATTAGTCCAGCAATGACAATGTTTCGGAGGGATCAATTTGGTTTATAAACTTAATGCTTCTTTAAAGGGAGGAGTTGGGGGCTGCTCAAGCCTAAATTATGTTGACACAGTACCTTCATTGGAAGGTGTCCCCTCCGTGGCTTACATTCTCTCAACAAAGCCCCGAGCCTCCCAGTTTTCCTTTGGTTGTCTTTTCCACCAAATCCCACACCACCACAGAACCAAAACCACCTTCTTTTGTGGGAGGAAGAGGCCTGACGGGGGTCCACATGTATCCTAAGAGAAGCTGCCAGATCAAGACAGAACTCCCCGTGCCTCAGCTGCACTCTCCAAGACTGAAAGACGACCAGGATTCTTCAGAGGGTTCCAGTAACCCCCACCCCAAGCCTAACGTGTTCTGCTGAGGGTGCCTGACTAAACAAAACAAAATCCCCAATAACCAACTTTCCAAAAAAACACACCTGCTTCTGGCTTAGTATGTCAGTGCAGCGCACAGCTGAGGTCCAGGGGACTCTATATCCCTTCCTTCCTCCACCCTGGCCGGCTGCTGCTCAGTCTCCACGTCACATTCACATAATCACTTCTTGTGCAAAACAAGCAGTCTATGCAGAAAGAATGCCCTCATAGTCTAATAAAAACGGTAGGAAAAAACGCTAGAGAGCCACCTCTCTTCCCGCCCCCCCCTTTATCTGCAGAGCGAGGGCATCTGTGCGTGGACAGGGTAGGTAAGCCTGACGTTGAGGGAGTCGTTGTGCTGAACCAGGGACGTCTGCTGGTAATGGAGCACCAGCTCCTTCAGTGAGCTGTACAGGTTGTAGGGCTCCGCAAAGCCATAGCCTCGAGCAGTGCTGTAGATGACACAGTGCTTCACTTCCCCGTCGGCACTGCAGAGACAGAACACAAACACCATGGGGAAAAGGTGAAGGGAGAGCCACAGAGAAACGGCCAAAGTCAGCAGAGGGCAACTGTTGACACGAGTCAAGATGTTTTCTAGATCAGACAAAACTTACAGTATGTCACGATCAAGTGTAGGATTCCCAGCGCCAGATAGTCACGGCCACCGACAGAACCTTCCCTTCCTGCAGAGGTGGCAAAGCTGGGATGGGTAACTGATCACCTACTGGATCTTCACTGCTAAGAATGCACTGCAGAGGAGCAGAACAAATCTAGTTTCCTTCCGTCTACAATGCAGTCGTTTTTAATATATTGATAGGTGTGACTGTCACCACTTTTAATTCTAGAATATTGTCATCACCCTCTAAAAATAACACTCCCTCCCTAATGGCCACTCAAAGGACCATCAAGCTACTTTGTCTTTATGGATCAACCTATTCTGGACATTTCATGAAATGGAATCATACACCATCATAGATGGTCTGTGTCTGGTTTCTTTCACAGTATTTTCAGATCCATTCATGCTGTGGCCTGTATTAATACTTCCTTTTTTTTACAGCTAAATGATATTCCATTGTAAGGTATAACATATTTTCTTTATCCATTCATCAGTTGATGGACTGTTAAGAAGAAAAGATGTTTGATTTTGTTTTTTCATGCTATTGAGTTCATTTTAAAACTCTTTATAAATTGCTCCTGTCATCTCAACTTTTAAAATTCATTCCCATTCTACTGTAAGCTGACTGATTTAGATATTCTTAAAGCACCATGGTTTTTGCTCTTAGACGTGGTCTTGTCAAATATCTCATCCACAAGTGTGATCAAAAGGACAGTAAGAGGCTCCTTAAAAAAAAATTTTTTTTTAATTGACCTTCAAGCATTTTCCCCCTTCATTTTAAGAGTTCTACTAGGCATTGCCCAGGAAAGTAGAATAGTCTCACTGGCACTTATGTTAAGCTCATATCCCTTAGGAGCTCTTTTGACTTTGTGCACCAGTTTTTTTGTGAACCAGTTTTGAATACCTTTGTCAACCTTGTTCCATTCCTCACATGCTACACTGTAAGATTCCAAGGTTGGGTTTGGTTACTTACTTAGGCGGGTTGGTTTTAGCACTCTGAAATCACCTGTTAGATTCTCAGAGTTTACCAAGCAAGCAAGGTCCTGAAAGGGAAACATTTCTGGTGGAGGCTTGACAAAAACACTTAAAAGTAGATCTGTTGATTTCTGCATCATTTCCATCCCTTCCTTCCTTGACATTTATGTGGGAGCTGCTCTTGTGTTTGTCAATTATTTTACCCTTTTCTTTCACAACTGAGTAAAT